TAGAGTACTGCCTAGCAAGTGCGAGTCCCTGAGTGTAAATCCACACACAAAACCACAAAAGTATAGGATTCTGTAAAAGGGTTATATCAAAATGAGGTGATGAGAGTAATAGAGAAAAGAGTGAAAATATAAAAAAAAATAGTCCCACCACATCCAATCATATTCGGTCATCTAAAACATGTTGGAGATACAGGATTACAAAGTGAAATGCAGGATGAGCGTGGGAATTTTTATGAACCATGAAAAATGCTTATTCCCAAAACATTTTGACCTTGTTGCAAGGTCATGGGTTCATCCTGCTGCAGACTGGCCTGGGCAGATGGAGCCTTCCTTTCATTTGGGCATCAGCCTGTCCCCTCCACTGGAACTCCTCTTGTTCTTCAGAGACCACGGGAATGAGGCGTTCATCGCGTACCCTGAGCTGCCTCAGGAATGCTCGGTCCACACCTGGAGCGCGGCAGACATAAACAGTGGCCAGCTGAGTGTGCAATGCTCCTTGTTTGTTTTCTCTGGTCAAGGTTGGCTGCGGGACACCCTTGTTGCTCTGCAAATGTGGCCTCACGGGGGCAGCAGAACCCAAGGTTCTTTGTGGCATTGAAGACCTTCGCATAGAATCTAGCTTCATAAAGACCGATGAACTAGCATCATCTTAAGAAGCAAAAGAAGTCCCTGACACATGACAGAGTCACAAGGATGAAGAACACTATAGTCAAATTTAGTAGTAACAATATGGAGTCAAATAGAAGACTTATAGAAATGCTTGTTGAAAATTACGAAGGGCTTGCACCTGTAATTCCAGCAATTTGGGAGGCTGAGATCCAGTGGATTGTGATTTGTGGCCAGTCTGGGCAAATAGTTTGCAAGACCTCATCTCCAAAATAACCAGAGCAAAATGGACTGGAGGTGTGGCTCAAGCAGCAGAGTGCCTCCTTTGCAAGTGCAAAACTCTGAATTCAAACCCCAATTCCACCCCAAAAATATGAAATATGAAATAATTCTCTATATAGTCATATGACATTATAAATGCACACATCATTTAAGGTATTAAAGCTTGAGTATGATTTGGAAAGACAGTTGCAAGACTGTTCCGGTGAATTGTATTCCAAAGAAGCTATGGAAACACCTTCAAGTTTTCCTCTTCTGCACCTCCTCATCCCCAGGGTGTGGGAGTGTCCATGTACTCTGCCTGTAAGTGAGTACACGGACGAGCTTTGAGGAAGAGCATGACTTGTTCTCCACTCGCATTTCTACTTCTAGCCTCCAGGGTCCTGGTGGTGAGTGTCAGGCCTTTATTAGCAGGGTTAACGCGCGCAGGTTATGAAGCTTGGGGATCTGTTCCTCTGAGAGATAAAGATGTGACTTGTAAATTTCATCATGACAGGGGAAATGCCACTGTGCTTTACTTTAGTTAGATGGTTTAAACTAAGAACGCTTAGAATGCAAATATACGCAGACTCCCAATATATGAATTTGCGTGTTATTTCTCCTTGCTAAGGACTCACCTGTTCTCTGACTTTATCCATAGCATGCTAATAGCCCCCTTCTTGCTGGATGGCACTGGAAAGGGTGTCACTCCCTCAGATAGCTTCTTTGTGCTACCACTGGATCCATTTAATAAGATAGAAAGGGATGGAGTACACATATGTGTATGAATCATAAAAACTGACACCCACCATCCTCTCCATAGTGGCTGCCTTCATCATAGATGGGGTGGATCGCCCTTCTTCTGCTCTAGCACCAACCTCCTCTCTTTCTTGGCTCATTCCACCTTTAGACCAAAGAGATGGAAGGCAGTCCTGTGAGTCTGGTGAGGAGAGGCTGGCTTCCTAGCCTGTCCTGCTGCCCATTTTCTTCTGTCTTCTGCTTATTTTTCCATTCCTTCAAGTGGAGTCGGGCCAACTCTAGCATCCTCTGTGCAGGACCTGCTCCGGAACTGAGCGGGCCCCTGGAAACCCGCATGTTCCAAATGTGAGCCAGACAGGCCACTGTGCCTGGAGCACCTGTGCTGTCTCAGGACAGGAAAAACCTGCACAGAAATGCAAGTGTACACTGTTGTTATTACTGCAAATATAACCAGGTTTTGGGAGGGATTTTAAGTGACAGATAAGCAACATTTTTAGCAACCAATCTTGTCCTCATTGTCATGTATTTACTGCTAAGATACCCACCAGGGCCTTGAAGTTGTATGTCTTCTTTGTTTTCAACAGACAACTGACTTATGGCCTCAATTCCCTTTTTAAAGACATGCCGACTTTTGCTTGAGAAAAATTAAATCTGACATTTAAAAGCTTTCAGATCAGTTGCTCAGAACTTCACCCTTAGAAACAGCATCTTTAGTACAAATTGTGGTGGCAAATTGTCTCTCAGGAAGAAAGTCAACTATTTAAAATATTTAAAAGGAAAGAAACTGGACACAGTGGCCTCACACTTGTAATCCTAGTTACTTGGGAGGCAGAGATTGGGAGGATCACAGTTTGAGGCCAGTGTAGGCAATAAGTTTGTGAGACCCCATCTCAGCCAATAGAAAAGGTATGCATAGTGGTGTGAATCTGTCATCCTAGCTGTGTAGGGAAGCAAAAAGGAAGATGGAGGTTCAGGTCAACCTAGGCATAAATAGGAGATCCTATCTCAAAAATAACCAAAGCAGAAAAGGCTCGAGGCATGGCTCAAGTGGTAGAGCATCTATCGGTCTAGCAACTGCAAGGCCTGGAGTTCAAACCTCACCACCACCACCACACCACCAAAAAAAAAGACTCCCCCGCCATTTAACTAAGTTCTACTTAACTACATTTAGCTAAGGACTATTTAAACTAAGGGTGTTTTCCAAAACAGCTGCATATAAAATACTTTCACAGTTTATGTGCTATTTGCTAAATATACACTTGACTGAAAGAATAAGAAGGCAAATTATTTTTACAAAGATGATTTTTATTAGATACATATTTTCTTCCAAAGACTTTGTAACATTCAATGTACATAGGAATATACCAGTACAGTCAGGCGTGGTGGTGCACACCTGTAATCTGAGCACTAGTGAGGCAGAGGCAGGAGGATCTCCAGTTCCAGTCATCCTGGGCTACATAGTGAGACCCTGTGTGCGCGCGCGCGTGTGTGTGTGTGTGTGTGTGTGAGAGAGAGAGAGAGAGAGAGAGAGACTTATACAAAGATGTCAGTATATCTTTGGGGTGCCACAGAGGCCAGAGTCACTGTCCTTCACTTTCAATAACCTTCAAAAGGGAAGGAAAAACCTTCCATTTGCTCACTTCTTGCAGATAACCACAATGCTCTAGTTTCGTATTCAGAGCTTAAGAAAAATCGGTAGCCTGTCTTATCAACGCCATGCCTTGATCCCCTGAGGGCCTCTCCCCCCTTTAGGTTTCTTCATTAGTCTTTACTATGATGGTCTGAGCTGCCCTCTGAAGTTCAAAACAATTTCAGGTTGTAAGAAAATCCTGTAAGTAACTCTACTGAAAAAAAGGAGAGAAAATCTAAACCTCCCTTTGAAAATGAAGTAAGTCTTCTTAGTGTTTTGGGTAGGGAGATTAGTTGAACCCCACATCTAAACCTGAAACACAGAGGTTGGTAAAATTTATACTTTTTGTGGCTTTGAGTGGGAAAGTTTAATGGGTCATAATTTTGGTGATCCAAAATGGAACTTGTGTTTTCTCTTTGTGCCTTTTGTGATCGGAACGAGTATAAAGATGGGCGAAAGCATGGTATAATGCTGGGGCAGTAGGGTGTCTTTGTCCCAATTGGAAAGTCTATCCTTCAGTGCTTTTCTGGGGGTTACGAACTCTTGCACGCTTCAAGCTTAGTAAAGCTTCCTGAAGTATTTCTTAACTCACTGGTAAAGGCAAGATCAACCTCACTTTGAACTCCCACGATCAGTAAGCCTGCAATAAGAGTGTATTCAGGCAGATCCTCAAATGGATTTTCAACATAAGGGATGACGCTTGAGGATTCATATCAGCCCTTCCACGGATGGGCCAGGCTCCCTTAGAAAAGGATGCCCACGGCAGTGTTCAAAGACGGACTGACTGCAGAGCAGAACAGCCGTTAGTGGATCTTATGTTGAATGGAAGTTCACAGGATGAGAGGAGATCAAGATAGGGAGCACAAGACCTTGCACTTGTTGCCTCTACAGCATCACTAGTACAAAAACCTCTAGCAGGGACCTTGATGCCTATCTTCGCTTTTATTACCGAGTGTTAGAGAAATGTGCTATGAAGCGTGGCTTCTTTTAGGGGCTTGAGTGTAACTAGCCTGAAGCTGGCGACGGCGTTTCTGCCTCTTACCTTTAAACCTCTAGTTCATGCCAAATGTCTATTGACGCTGCGATCTAAATGATACTCTACCATTCCAGGGTGCCATGAAACCTATAGGGTTGGTGGAGCCGTGTCACTTGACCTTAGTGCTTGTAAATGCTGGCACAGGTTTTCCATTGAGTAAAGCCATTCTGGGGTCGGTCCCTGCTAGCATCAGCTCCTGCTTCACGTTGATTTGGATGGGGTCATGCTGTTAAAGGTGCCATCACCACCCAGCTTCGAACCTTCCTCCCTGCAGGGTCTCCCCCAGCCAGCCACAGGTCTTCTCCTAACCAAACTCTCTCACAGCTGGAAAGTGTTGGCTTCCCCTTTCCTCCACTTGAGATGAAATCTAATTCAAGTCCCTCCCAAGGCCACATGGCGCTCACCTGGTCCTGCAAGTCTGCGGAACTTATAACCATACCTTGGTGGGTTCTTTCACCATGTGGAAGATGCTGTTTTTTAGCTAATTATGTTCCTCTTTTCTTCCTATGGAAAGACAAACTATTTTTAAACACATTCACAACCTGGATGTTGCCTTGCACAAGGTGCACAATATACGTTCTCCACCAATTTTGTGGATCCCTATTCAGACAATCAAACTCAAGCATCAGAAATTCTCTGAGTACAACTTTATTTTACAGTGAAACTTTTGGTAACGAAGGGAGAATTTGTCAAAGCTTCAACTTATATTTTGATCAACTGTCTAGAACGAGGGTTTAAAAGATCAAGTCAATATTTAAAAAAGACGTCCGATATGTGGAGGGATCTCAGACCCTCTATGATAGTAAACTTCTTGCTTAAAAGATCCACTCCCACTCCCAGGCTGTATGTAAAAGCTGAGTCATATGCCTAACTTAGTCAAGGTCATAAACCAACGGAGATTTCCTGCTCCCCAGTGGATCGGGTGTAGACTGAGCCCACCCGTTCAGGAGACTCTGACTGGAAGAATGGACAGTATTTGCAAAAGTGCTTAGCAATGTGTTTTTGGAAGAACACAGAGAGATACCTTCGGAACTTCTCCCCGATGAAGGCATAGATGATGGGGTTGATACAACAGTGGGTCATCCCAAGAGTCTCTGTCACCTGCATGGCCTGGTCCAGTCTGTTAGAGCTATTGCAGTTATTCAGGCCAAAGAACTCCGGGAAGGTGGTCAGGAGGAGGACGATGTTATAGGGAGCCCAGAAAATAAAGTAGACGATCATGATGGCGAAGATGAGCCTCACGGCCTTGTGTCTCCTCTTCTCATTGCGACACCGGAGGAGGGTGCGCAGGATTCCCGAGTAGCAGATGACCATGACAAGCAGGGGCAGGACCAGGCCCAAGATGAGCATCTTTAATGTCTGGAAATTCTTCCAGAAATGATATTGATTGGATGGAAAATGAGGACTACATGTATGACGAGAACTTTCTTTTTGTGACCTGGTAAAGATGATCCCTGGAAGAGACACAAACACAGCTGCCACCCAGGTGATCACACTTGTCACTACCCCAAAGGTGACTGTCCTGGCTTTTAAAGCAAATACAGCATGGACAATCGCCAGGTACCTATCGATTGTCAAGAGGATGATGAAGAAGATTCCAGAGAAGAAGCCTATAAAATAGATCCCCGTCAAAAGCTGGCACATTGCATTTCCAAAGTCCCATTGGGCCGCGGCATAGTGGGCCCAGAACGGGAGCGTGAGCAGGAAGAGCAGGTCGAGATGGCCAGGTTGAGCAGGTAGATGTCAGTCATGCTCCTTAACTTCTTGCAGTTGACCAGGGTGAGGACCACCAGCATGTTACCCACAATGCCAAAGATGAACACCAGCGAGTAGAGCGGGGGCAGGAGCCGGGCTGCGACCTGCCGCACGTTGATTTTTTGGCAGGGTTCTGACATACCATAATCTAGATCATAGGTGTAGGTTGTACTTGATGTATGATAGTCCATCTTGCTCAATCCTGTGACATAACAAGAGCATTGCTGAATGAAGTTGAAGCTAGCTCATGGACATCCAGGAATGCAAACTATTTCCTACTTTAGTAGGTCTTTGACTTGATACATGAGAAATGTCAGGTCTAAACAATGAACTTTTTTTTAATTTGCAAACAGTTCTTTATTTTGAATGCAGTATTTTTTTTCTTTATTCATCAGTGCATACATTGTTTGGGCCATTTCTCCCTCCTGCCCCCCCTTCTCCCCCCTCTCAAACAATGGACTTTTGTAGTAAAAGAAAGGTTTCATAATTATCTGTCCTATTCACTGGATGGAGTCAATAAAATTTTGTTTTCTATAGCAATATGGAATGAATGAAGCTATGGTGAACATTTAAAGAAACTGAGTCAGGCATACTGTAACTCATAACTTAAAATTTATACTGAAGCTGCTGTTCCCTAGAGAGATTCCACCAAGATCATTCACCATAAGACAGCCAGTAATAATTGACAGGTCCCAAGGGCTCATGGGTGATGGCCAACCACTGTTGGCTTCACACCTATTCATTCATTTGATCCTCCAGGTAACTGTATGAGGCAGGAAATATGGCTACATTTTACAGGCACGGACCCTCAAGCACAGAGACAGTGAGTGACTTGCCCAGGGTCACACAGTAGGAAGTAACTGACTTGGTTTGCAGTCACCCTGCACCTTAACCACCATGTTCCTTTGTTTCTCACTTCTAGGTAACAGAACCAAAGAGTAGGACTAACAGCCTGGAGCCTCTGTGTAGTCAGAGTGAAACAGACTGGTGTCCAAGTCCTCCAAGAAGTTTCTAGAAGCCAACAGCAATAATCAAATGCAGTCTTCTACCCTCACATCTTCTCTGCCGTTTGTGTTTCCAGCTCCTGAGATGGCACTATTAGAGCCCTCATATGAACGCAAGAAATGGCCAAACACTTCCTCTGCCTCCTAGTTGAGTGGCACATAATCTAGATAGTTCAGTCCTGCCCAGGCTGTTTCAGTTCCACCGCTCTAGCTTAGAATTTTCTCTAATTAATCCTTACAAGTTTTCTAACTCAGACACAATTATATTCTGAAACTCATTCTGAATTCTGGTCCTTTCTTTATCTTAAAGATGATATTTCCAGATACTTCTATGAGCACCTGGGCTATCAGATTCTTCTATGGGTTTCCTGTTAAGCTGTACGCATCACAGAAGCTAAGCTAATTAACAGGCCAAGTGGTTGAGGGGTGACTTACCAGAGAGAGTTTCTTGTAGGGGGAACGGATGTCTCAGCTTCTCTGGCCAGCTGAGCTGTGCAAATCAAAGATATAGACAGTATAAAGTAGGAAGCCCAGTGTCTGGTGGAGGGGTGGAGTTTAAGTGCATTGCAGGGAAAGCAATCAGAAAATAGTTCTTCTTTTAAAGTTGCGTTTCAGATGGGCTAGAGAGAGCTCCCATCTGAGTTTATTCACAAATTTTCCTCATTGGACTCTTTCACTTTTGCTCTCTGCTCATTCAATTACAACAGAGTCTCTCAGAAACTGGAACGGATTAAGGGATATCAGAGCTAGAAGAACACTGATATCTATCTACTCAAATTTCTGTCTAGGAGGCAATGATTTGCACAATAGTGTGGCAGAAATGACAAGAACGTCTGTTCTCTTAACAGATACTGAATTAAAGGAACTCAAATCAACTTTAAATTCAAAGGGGAACTTTATTCTTTGCAGCAATCTCATGCTCCCTTACCCACTCTCCTCCATCCACCTGGTATATGATAGACAATGTGGTCAAGTTAGGATTATGTGAGTATGACATGCAGTCATGTCAAGCTTTCTTGGTGGTTGGTGGCTTATCTGAAAACCTCAAGTAATGACAACAGAGCTGAGAGCACAGCAGAGAGCTGCCCTTCAGTCGCCAGAGTCCCCTTTCAGTGACTACTGCTTCAGCTATAGGATAGGAATCTTGTGATTACAGTAAGGCAAAGGAGACTCCAAACAGCAAAACTATGTGTCCCCAAGCCCATGGAAGCAATCTAGCACATTGACTGAGTGAGTGGCCTCTGTAGGCAGATTGCCAAGCTTGAAGCCACCCCTCCTTCAGCTTTCTCATCTGTATAATGGGCTGAATAGTAGGAATGACTTTGTAGGGTTGTTGGGCAGATTGTATTATAACAGGCTATTAGTGACTCCAGACTGTCTGACTCGAGCACCTTGTTGATTTCTGCACTTAGCCCTAATGTAGTCCTAGCACAAATGTTCCAACTTCCCCAAAGACCTGGGAAGGGGAACTTGAGACATTAGTCTGCTTCCTTCTGAGTGCCCAGAATCCTCAATAAAGTCTTTCTTTTTCCTAGCACTCATCTCTTGGGTTTTGGCTTTTCATGTGGCAAGTGTCCAAACCCTGAGGGTGATAATATGCGCACCCCCCCAACCAGCATTCAGACATCATACACATGATAAACATCAAACTCTGGGTTACCCACTCAGTGACCTGTTCTTAGAAGCTATTTTATAAATAAAGCCTTCTTTGAAGAATAGTCTTGTTTTCTGGTAATAAACTTGGGCAGAGCTCTCGGATGCTGCTGGATAAATGTACTTCTGTTTGCAACTATTGTTGTTGTTAGGGTCACCATGCCCATCAGTCACCCTGAGGTGACTGTCCTCAGGGTGGCTGAGGACATGAAGGCATGATCACCTGAAGAGGGCAGTGTAGAGCATCAGAGCAAGCTCAGAGTCACTCAGACAGGGCCTCGTGGTGTGATAACCTCCCCTCTCTGGGCTTCCTTTTCTTCATCTGTCAAGTGATGTACTACCTGTTCTCATGGAGTTTGGAAAACACACGTCAAGTGGGAAGCAAGATGAGTGTTCACAAGCTGCCACCAGGAAGCACATCATAGCATGGTGCTATCCTCTTTTTCTTTCTTTCATCTTTCTTTTTTTTTTGGTGGTACTGGAATTTGAACTCAGGGTCTTGTACTTGCTAGGCAAGTTCTCTACCATTTGATCCACCCAACTAGTCTGTTTTTCAAATAGGGTCTCACATTTATGTCAGGGCTGACCTGCTCCTCAATCCTCTTATTTTTGCTTCCTGAGTAGCTGGAATGACAGGTGCACTTTTTATTAGTGATAGGGGGATCTTGTGAGCTTTTTGTCTGGGATGGCCTCAAACCATGATCCTTCTGATCCCCACCTCCTGAGTAGCTAGGGTTATAGACATGAGCCACTTAGCCTAGCCTGTGTTAACCTCTTTGAGTTTCTGGTCCAGAGTTGTGTGCCAGTCATTTCTGAGAGAGGGATTCATCCCAAGGATGCACATGGAGGTGAAGATCCATGGGAAATTCTTTAGTCAATAATAAATGTAACTTTGTTCTGGGTAGGACAATGATAATAACAGTCATCTACCATGCTGTGGCTTGCTTTCTGTCTTTTTTGTTTGTTTTTTCTATTTGGTCCATCACAGATTCCACGGCTCTCATTCTTATTTGTATGGTATTCAAACTCCCCACAGGAAATGATCCTTTGGTCAACTTGTCTTGCTGGACTTGATATCACATTGGAGGGCCGCTCATGTGCACTTTCCTTTTGGGGTGCTGGCTAGTCTTTAGGTAGCTTCTCTTTCTCTAGTCATCCCATTCATGACCCAAGGGCTGTTTTATGTGCTCCTTATCCACACCATCTCTGGACCAGATACTCAGGGCATCCTCAGTGGGATGCGGGGAGTTTCAACCCTTCCCCTTGAGTTCAAAGGGCCAAGTACACAAACGAAATGAGCTAAAAACTCTGCTATCCAACAGCTCTTTAGAAAATACCTGCGTCATTATCAGGCAACAGTAAGACGGGCTGGTAAAAACAGCAAGTGAATGTCTTGTTTTAAAAAATGAATGTCTAATTATGAAACCAACATGTGCTCATTATATGAAATTGGGGAAAACAGAAAGTAGGAAAAAATTAAGCATATTCTCGCAATGTCTGTCATAGGTTTCAATCCTGGCTTTTTCCCAAGTACATGTTTTGGTAAATTGTTCTCACACAGAGATATCACTCTACATGCTGCTTATAAATGTTTTTTCCTCAGGATTACACTGTAGGTCTTTCCTTGCACCATGAAAAACTCACTATAAGTGTAGTTCTTTTATGGGAGACGGGCAGTACTGTAAGTTGAAGTCAGGGTCTCGAGTTTGCTAGGCAGGTGTTCTACCACTCTGCCTGCCATTTTTGTGTTGGTTGGATTTTTTGTTACTGTGTTTGTGGTGGTGGTGGTGGTGGCTTTTTTTTTTTTTGGTGAGACTGGGGTTTGAACTCAGGGCTCAAAGCTTACAAAGCAGGTGCTCTACCACTTGAGCCACACCTTCAGTCCATTTTGCTCTGGTTATTTTGGAGATGGGGTCTCACAGACTATTTGTCCCAGCTGGCTTCGAACCTGGATGCTCCCAATCTTAGCCTCCCATGTAGCTAGGCTTATAGGCATGAGCCACTGGCAACACAGTGTGTTGGTTAATTTTTGAGATAGGGTCTGGCTTTATGCCTGAGATAGCCTTAGACCACAATCCTCCCATTTGTACTTCCCCTACATAGCTGGGATGATAGACGCATGCCACAGCACCCAGCCATTGGCTGAGATGGGGTCTCATGAATTTTTGTCCAGGCTGGCCTTGATTTGTGATCTTCCCAATCTCCATCTCCTGAGAAGCTAGCATTACAGATGTAAGCCACTGAGCCTGGCTGAGTATAGTTCCCTAACTGCTATTTTTACCAAAGTCTTACAACAAGTGCACTGATCTTAGTCATACAGTGTGGTGAGTTTAATTTGCATATACCCAAGGAACCACAACCTAGATAGAGATGAAAAGGAATATTTTCCATATCACCTGGAGAGGAGCCCTTTGCTCCAACTAGAGGTAAAGGCCACTCTGACTTCAGATAGATTAAATGTGCCTGTTCTTTTATTTCATGTAAATAGAGTCACACATGCCGCGCCCTTTCCTGTCTGCCTTCTTTCGTTCAACATCACACCATTAACTGAATTTAATGGAGCCCTGTTAGTAGACAGACAGGCTCTTTCTGTTCTCCAACATCAACAATTTTGTACTGATTGTCACTGTCTGTGCTCTGATGTCATATCAAGAAGGAAGCTCCCAGTGCCCTCAAAGACACCTTTGCCAGAAGAGCCAGACACTCCCTATGGTCTCAGAAATAGGAAGAACTCACCTGCTATCACTTGATGTCACATTTTGTCACCTGTGTGCCTCAGCAATGATGCTTGGGTCCTATGACTCCTAGGATTCCTTGTGGAGACGGTTGACCTCAGGCACCTGTCATGGCGGTGGTGGTCAGAAGGTTATCATTTTGTTTTCCCATTCCTGTCTTTGTCCTCTAAGTCCTTATACAGGGAAGTGGGATTCTCTTCCCAGCCTCTGTACCACACCCTTCATATGTCCTCCTATGACTTCATATGCAAAACATCACACCAAGTCCATACTTCCAGGCTGTCTACTTCATCCTGCATTAGACATGTCCAGACATGGTGGAAACCCTTTGTTCAGCTTAGAAGTCTGCCTTGTGCTTTTGAGGTATTCTCTCAAAGCAGCGCCAAGCATTGCAGTTAATGTAATCTCAGGTATGACAAGAGAGTCTAATGTATTGATTGCAGTACACAACAGAGCTACTGTCACCTTAAGCGGGTCAGGTCACACCTGCAGCTCTATATTCAGTTCTGAGCATAACAGGATATTATGGAGGACTCTTCCGGTTGCCCTAGAACTGGCAGGATGGCCTAAGGCTGAGGGCAAATAGGTGTTAAGTCCTCCATAGTTCTAAGAAAACCACTGACACCTGGGGTCAGACAACTTTTGGGGGCTTACTAGGAGGTGACAGAACCATCCCTGGGTCCCCATCTGTCACATCAACTCCTCCCATCCTAGTCTTCATACAGAGCCAATTAGGGGTAAGAAGCAGTTGTAGACATGGATGAGATTGATGGAGATGAGATCCCTCCCCTCAAAGCCAATCATGTGACGAATGGGAGCTTGCCAAAGGGAAGGCCAGCACTGCTTTCCCAGTGGTTTCCCAAGAGGCAGCAGGCCAGTTGAGCAGGGGACAAGGGATTGGAGAGAGGAGATAGGTGGAGACGGTGTGTCAGTGAGACTGCAAGGGTGTCCCAAGTATGCATGCCACATGTCCCGAACAGGAGGTAACTGGGTTGTAGCTATCATGCTGGGCCCCACTGTTGGGGTGAGGTGACCCCAGTGTGCAAGAAATGGTAGGTTGGAGGCAGTCTAGTTGAAGAGAGATGGTGTGTGTCTATGGAGTGGCTATGAGAGCCCCACCGGCTCTCAGCCTCTTACAGGAACACACATAAGTTCCTGCCTGACCAACATGGAGGGGCCTATTGCAGGGGCTAGTTGCATAAAAATGCATGTGCCCTTTTCCTCACCCTCTCCTCCACCTCTCAATGCTAGACAGGGTCTCCCTGAGGCAGACCAGTAGCTGAGGGCTGGAGGTGGGGGAAACAGAAAAGACAAACATATCTCTCCTCTAGGCAGAGCCTTCCAGAAGCCAGTGGACTGTAAGACCCAAGTGAAACTGAATTAAAGGGAAATAAATAACTTCATATTGTGAATGGATTACATTAGGATATTTTATAAGGGATGTACAAAATAAGACATTATTTGAGTTCCTCACCCAGGCTGGGGCCACCAAGGTTACAAGAACCTGCATTGTGTGACTGTTTATACACACACACACACACACACACCCTTTTCCCAAAGTTACAAACATGGGTATTAAAATGACCGTGTCTGGAAAAATTTCCAACCTCTGATGTGTCCCAAATCTGGGCCCAGCCTCCTCTCCTTGGTCAGTTCCCACACTCCCTTGCACAGGTTGCTAGTCAGCAGTCAGACTCCTGTTTTCTCATAGTGTGTTTCCCTGGGTGGCCTTTTCTGATGGCTAATCTCACCTGAGGCCATTTCAATTTGTCAGGGAAGTTTAAGTAACGAGCAAAATCGAAGGAAAGGACGAGGTCTTGATGACTCACCAGAAACTCTAGGGCATCTCTGCAAATGCTCACCTTCCCCAGCTATCAGGGCATCACAGACCAAGGGGGATGGCATGGATGACCAAGCTCCTTCCTCAACTATAAAAGTCATAGATGCCCATCCCTTGGAATGGTGGACTTTGCTTACCTCAAACCGCCCACCTGAAGGGTCTTCCTGGAATAGAGGTGACTCAAGGACACCCTTCTGGAATTGGACACCAATGGCAACTCTTACATAGCAGTTTCTTCAGTGGCAACAAAGTCCAAATGTATTCTGTGCTCTGCACAACATACTGTGATCTTGTCTACACCTCTGTATCCACTGGCCCATCGCTAGGCCCTGGGCTGGCCAGAGGACTGAAGGACAATGACCTCCATCTTTACCTTCCCTACCCAGTCTATCAGACCCTCGGGGCACATCCCATACCGACTTCCATGGTGGCAAATAAATGCCCACTCTTCCAGATTTTACTTATGAAGCCACCGAAGGCCATGTGTACTGACCAGTTTTGTGCTTGGCAAATAGCTCAGTGGCTTATCAGAATGAACATGGGCTTCTTGCTCCTGTCCCTCTGTCATCTTGCAAACTCACCAGGGTGCAAGGGTGGGAGCTGGAGTGGGCCAGTGGCTAAGAAGGGGCTCAGCCCAGCTACTCTGAAGACAGATGACACTTGTGCTCACCTCCCAGTGGCCTAGCAGCTGTGTGGATGGGGAGGAGTATGCGGCCTGGAGGCCAGGCTGCAAGTCAACCTCAAGAGCAGGTTTACATGAATTGCAGGGGGAGGAAGTGAAAAGTTGTGAAAAAAGTTAGTCAACCACACAACAGTGTAACAAAGCAGATGATTGCTTTTCAATCTTTTTAACAATATAGTTGGAGCATTGATTTATTTCCCAAATCATAGATTTAAAATACAATGTTTACATTGCATTGAAATAAAATTGTGTACATTCATTAGGGTATCCAAAGGTGTCACCTTCTGAGTCCCTGCTTCATCCCAAAACCTTCTTGAACCATGAAGATTCTGACTTTGTCAAACATAGCAACTTCTGGCTCCCAAGTTGCCTGTTAGGTATCTCTCGTGTCCATCAGATCAGAAACACATGAGGTAACATTCTTGGCTCAGCCAAGGGGAACATCTTGCTCACTCAAGGGAGCTTCTTCAACTTCCCTCTTTTGCAAACTGACTTCATTTGCTTGTTTTTTTGAGACAGGGTCTCGCTATGCAGTCCAGGCTGGCCTCAAACTAGCAATTCTTCCTCCTCAGCCTTCTGAGTGCTGGAATTACAGACATGCACCACCACACTTGGCTTTGAAAATGTACTTTAAAAGCTTTCATTAGGAGCTTCCTTTAGGAGTTCAAGTGCACCTTCACAATCCTGAAATGCTGTCATGATGAAATCCATGACGTCATAGATAGAAGAGGATTCGGGGCAGCAAGCCCGAGAGAACGAGGGCCCAGCTGTGGAGTGTGCACCATGGCTCCATGATATTCTTGCTTAGATGCTGCGCTGTCACAGGTGGATAAACCCACGGACCATGGACCTCCGGGTCCTTGTCAATCTAGAGCTATTTGTGTTGGCCCAGGCACCTCCCGAACACATTACAAACTCCAAGCCTTTGTGCTCAAAGCCAGAATTGCTTCTATGACTAATAAAAGTATTTTCGGGTTTGGCAAGATAGGAACTCTTAAAATAACATGTCACCAACATTGCTAAGTTGCAGTTTTTAGCCTTAATTTAATTTTTTGTTTCTATTAAAATGTGTGAACTCTAGGCCTAGATCCAAAAACAAGACTTGGCAGGGTAGTCTGGGAAACATTTCTTCCCAACTTGTTTAGAGTCTTCCTCATCTAGACTTATCCTGCCTGGTCATTTAGACATGGGCATTTTCAGGCTGGGTGTGTGATTTCCAAAGCAGGGGTTTCTGTAACTGCTGCCACCAGGTTTTTTCTCTGCCCCAAGGACATACCCCTTGATTACTAGCAATTGAAATGATCAAGGACTGAGTGAAAACATGGTGGAGACTGGAAAGTGTATTAGCAAAAGCAATGGGGCATTTTCCAGAGACAGACTTGAGCTAGCTAGAGAGCCAAGTGTCTACTCACAGTTGCTCTAGAATGTGCCCTGGGCATGCGTTGGATATACAGGAGTGACTTAAGTCTGTCTTGGCATAGCCCCTGAGGTTCCAGGGCACCTGATTTACAAGTCTCTATCCTTCCACGACCCCTTGAGGCTTGTTATTATATACAGATAAGTAGCTGCCTTGAAAAAATGACAAGCAAACTTGTTATAGTTTATAAACCAGCCGAGACGTCCTGCTCCCCCGTGGAAGGGGTGAATGTTGAGCTCACTTGGTCTGCTGTCTCTCCACAGAACACTGGGCACAGTTTGCAGAGGTGTTTGGCCACATGCTTTCTGAAGAACACAGAGAGATACCTTCGGAACTTCTCCCCGACAAAGGCATAGATGATGGGGTTGATACAACAGTGTGTCATCCCAAGAGTCTCTGTCACCTGCATGGCCTGGTCCAGGTGACTGCTTCTCTCACAGCTACTCAGGCCAAAGAGCTCCTGGAAGGTGGTCAGGAGGAGCACGATGTTGTAGGGAGCCCAGAAAAGAAAGTAGACGATCATGATGGCGAAGATGAGCCTCACAGCCTTGTGTCTCCTCTTCTCATTGCGACACCGGAGGAGGGTGCGCAGGATTCCCGAGTAGCAGATGACCATGACAAGCAGGGGCAGGACCAAGCTCAAGATGTTCCTCATTATTGTATGGAAGTTCTTCCATGTTAATGGAAAATGAGGGCCACAGGAGTAACCAGAATCTGCCTTTTCAAATTTAGTGAAGATGATTCCTGGGAGAGAGGCAAATGTGACCACTACCCAGGTGACTCCACTTGTCACCACCCCAAAGGTGACTGTCCTGGCTTTTAAAGCAAACACAGCGTGGACGATCGCTAGATACCTATCGATCGTCAAGAGGATGATGAAGAAGATTCCACCAAAATAGCCCATGTGATATATCCCTGTGAGTAACTTACACATTGCATTTCCAAAGACCCACTGATTTGCGGCATAGTGGGCCCAGAACGGGAGCGTGAGCACGAAGAGCAGGTCGGAGACGGCCAGGTTGAGCAGGAAGATGTCAGTCATGCTCCTTAACTTCTTGCAGTTGACCAGGGTGAGGACCACCAGCATGTTACCCACAATGCCAAAGATGAACACCAGCGAGTAGAGCGGGGGCAGGAGCCGGGCTGCGACCTGCCGCACTTTGGGTTTATAACAGGGTTCACTGCTGCCATAGTCATAAATGGTGGTGACCTCTTCACTGCTGTCATTGATGCTTTCTAGCAGAGACTGAGATGTGGAGAGCAAGCTGCGGGAAATCTGGAGATAAGTGTCTTTCATTTTCTTCAGTTCTGTAGATAGAGAATGACATGATGACTACATAATACAAATGGCAGTCCCCCATCCAAATAGCCTTACTTTGCTTAAGGAATATTCCAGTCTTTGTATCTCCTTGTCAACTGTCTCCTTGAGGGCATGGGTGTATTACTTCCCTGTCATTCCTCTGCTAGACACCTGTTGTGTACCCAACTCAGTTCCCAACACCCTTTGTCTACCCAGTGAGCACAAGTCTCATGGTAAGCCTGAAAATTCTGGATGCCCACATTGTCTATGTCCTTTGGAGACGACACACAGGCCTGTGACACATCCCTGGGCGATGTAAGTGCCGTCTGCAAGGCAGTTCTACCCAGAAGGTTCTACCCAGATAAGGGAGACAGAAGAAATCCTGCCTGCTCCTTCTATGTTTGCAGCTTGTCTTGTGCAGGGTTGGTGCTTGACCATGAATGAAAGACGCAGGGAATTTGAGAAAGGCTGTGTAGTGTCCCTTAGCAACCCTTGAACTCCTAGTTCTCTGACTTACTTGGTTTGTTTAGTTGTTTTGTGGTACTGGGGTTTGAACTCAGGGCTTTGGACTTGTGAGGCCAGTCATGTCTTGAGCTATGTCTCCAGACATTTTTTCCTCAGGTTATTTTTTGAGATATGGTCTCACTTTTTGCCCAGGCCAGCCTGGAGCGTGAGCCTCCATTTTATGCTTCCTGCTGTAGCTAAGATAACAGGTGCATGCCACCATACCCGGTTTTTTTCTGTTGAGATTGGGTCATGGTAATTTTTTTTGCCTGAGCTGGGCTGGAATCAAGATCCTTCCAATCTCAGCTTCCCGGGTAGCTGGAATGACAGGCGTGTAGTTCTGTACCCAGCTAATGGTTAAGATGGATGTTTCCTGAGCTTTTTTCCCCTGGGCTGACCTTGAGTTCAGCTTCCCACGTGACTAGGATTACAGGCATGAGCCACTAGCACCTGGCTTGACTTCTTGTCATTGGAGAAAGAATAAGCCACTGTGAGTCACATCTTTGGGCTGTTACTTGCAGCCCAAAGCGTTCTGATAACTCTCTCCACTTTTCACCTCTACCATCTGCCTGAACTTCTCCTGCCAAGGTTTCAAGGAAAACCCAATGTTCCAGTTTCATCCTCATCAGGCGTCTGATCTTTGGCTAACCTCCTCCATTTAAAACTCCTTTTTGGCTTTCAGGAGGAAGTTTCCATCTGGCTACTTCTTATTAACGTTGGCATTTCCTCCTTCTGCCCAGCCCAAATGAGCTGCCAGGCACCATCCACCATCCTTGGCTCTTGCCTCTTTTGACCTGCCTCTTCATTCTTTTTGGGTTTTTTTTTTTTTTTTTTGATGGTACTGGGGTTTGAACTCAAGGCCTCACACTTACTAGGCAGGCACTCTACCACTTGAGCCACTCCAGCAGTGTTTTTTTTTTTTTTTCTTTTTTTTTTGTGATGGTGTTTTCAAGACAGGGTCTTGTGAACTATTTGCCTGGGGCTGGCTTCGAACAGCAATCCTCCTGATCTTTACCTCCTAAGTAGCTAGGATTATAAGCATTTGGCTGCCTCTTTATTCTCACTCAAAAATCCTTTCTGATTTGTGTCAGCTAATCTCAGGGCTCTGACTCTCCTGTAACCAAATGCTTCTCAAAGCCCTGTTTTCAAGTCCTGCCTTCCTTCTGAACCTCAGAGTGGAATTTTCCATTGCCTGCTGAGCATCTGCTGTGGTCTGTCTTTGGTTTTAGACACTGGAGATACAGCAGTGATCAAAGTAGGTGGCCTGTCACGAGTTCAATGCCTCCACCTGAGCACCTCCGGAAGCTCACTTGTTTGTGGGCTCCTTATCTTAGTAATTGCCATTTAGTCCTTTGCTGAAGAAGCAAGATTTAGCATTACTTTGGATCCCTTCCTCTTCAAAAATTAAGGGCCTGCCTTCAGAACCAAACGGATGGACCTGGATTCGAGTCCTATCTGTATAATTTGAGGTCAATGATTTTTTCAAGTATGAGTTTCTAGTTATATACAATATTAACTGTGCTGAGTTGTTGCATAGGTCATTTGGGATAAGGACTTCACAGTCCTGGTTTAGTGAACCTCTGTATTATTTTTAGGTGGTATAAATTCTAACCCATAAATGCTTGGCAGGTACATCCTCTCTGCCAGTTTCAACTGCCAGTTCCTTGCCTTGTCTTTCCTTTGCTCCTGGCTTGTCCCTTTCCACCTGTCTTCTTCAGGGTTGAAACTGGACTGTGCACTTCTCAGCCTACAACCTCCAGGCAGGCACTGAATGGCTCGTGCGTGGTAGGAACTCAAAGATAATGATTGGTCTGCTCACTATGGCTTTTCTGAGATTTTATGGGTTTTCACTTGTCAGCTTTGTCTCTGATCACTGTGCTTCAGCCACAACCATCTCCTCTTCATTTTCCCCAAGTCACTGATTCCTTCAGGCTACAGTGGTTTGCTATATACTTGTCCCTCTGCCCAAAAAAGACTGCTGAGCTCCTGTTCATCCTTCAATGCCTCCTGCTCAAATTCCCCTTTTCTGCAAAACCTAATTTATATCTTCTACCAAATCACTCTGGTCTTTTAACATCTCAAGCATCTAAATCAGCCCTTGCCACTTTATCTTTTATGCATGTGCGCCCCTTGAGGTCAGCACTGGTCACGTTCTACCTCCAGTTTCTTATGAATTCATCCAGCTAAAAGAGGCATCAACATGTGTTCACAGGATGAGTACACAGAACTCGTAACATCATTAGGGCTTCCTTGCTGAGATCATTTTTCTCTGGTACTGATTGAATTTGTTTTCACGTCTCTATCCACCTTATCCTTTCACCTCTCTCAGTGATATATTTCACATCACTGAGTCACATCCTTGCAAACTGCAGAAACATGACCTCTGATGAGGGTTGGGAAAAAAGTGTGTGTGCTAAGTACTCCTGATGCTGCAGACGTTCTGTTAAATACTTGGAACGCATGCATTCCCTACCATGGGGCAGTCAGCAAAGTAACCAAAACTGCACTAATGTAGCTGGAATTTCAGGTGTCAGGACCCGGCATCCAGAGCTGCTAGGAAGCTGCCTCTCAGAAAAAAGAAATTCCTCTTTCAGCTTGTGTGGCCCTCTAGACGGGAAGGAAGAGGCACTTTGGGTTCAGGGGCCCCACACATAGACAGGATGGGAAAGATTTCCAGGGAGAAAGTTCCAGCTCTTTATGGACCCTGCTTGCTCAAAGGGAGCAGAGGGAGCCCGTGGGTGCTTGAGCACTCTGTTCCCTTTCCTCCTGTCACCTAAGCCCCAGGGAAGGTCCCACCCAGCCACATCCTGCCCTTCCTCACTCTCGCCCAGGTCTTTGTAACGTCTCCCGGTGCACATGCCCTCCACCCACCCCTTCCCCATCTCAATCATGGTCCCCAAGGACCCAGGCTAGGCAGTCCCATAAGCGTGTGCAGGGGGACCCACATTTCCAGCTCTGAGATGCTTCAAGCCTATGATTCATAAAGTCACGGAAAAAAAAATCACCCACAACTCACCAGTGGATGGCTTCCTTCAGGTGGCTTCTTTTAGCGTGTCAGGCTTCTCACTAACGGAACCGGACAGACCTGGAGGTAGAAACTTGGTGTGCAGAAGTAGGAAATAAAGTTTCCTGCAGAAAGAGAAGGCGGAGATATCAGGGCAAGTGATGGTAAAGATCTGAAAAAAAAAAAAAATCAAAAAGATACAGTTCTTCTTTTCCAGCCAGGAGTGCTGTACACTATGTCGTGGTCTCCCGAGGAGGATTAATTTTGAAATCTTGCTTGTGCAACCTTGAGAATGAGTCAGGCACCCCAACCCCTCTCTCTGCTCCTGTATCTACCAGCTCTGGGCTTCTGGAACTCCTTGAGTCTCTCTGTCTGGAACTCTTCAACTCTGTACCTTCCTCCCCATTAAATTTGCATGGACCGAGTGTCATAGAACCTGTCATTTCCCAGAGGATAAATACTAGCAAGGCTGTAGGTCATGGTGAGGAAATAGAGTGAGGTTTACTGGGACTGTGTGCGCTGTGTGTCAGTGGTATTGTGAATTTGCAATCTGATTAGAAATTTTATTTCTGTAAGACTTTTTTAATGAAAGGGAATACTAAGTGATCTCTTGTGTCATTAGCAAGAGGACCCTTGGTTATTAGAGGTACCCCCTCCTCTGAAAGAAGCTGTGTTAAAAAAACCCCAAATTCTGCAGCATAGGTACCATACTTATAAATATTCCCCAAAGTCCTGCATGCATTAGAGTTGGCCTCTGGCACTTTCTAGAATTCAGCAGACCCTGAGGTCAGGATCTCATGCTTTGGCAAGTTTTTGTTCCATCAAATATGAGTCATAAGATTCTAGGGCCCCCGGAGGCTTGATGGGCATAAAGAAGCTAGTATTGCAATAGGTGCTTACTAAGTACCAATGGTAGCATTGAGCCCCGTGAGTACTAAAGGCACAGCCTGGAGAGTTAACAGCCCCAGTGAAACAGGGTGGATTTGAATAAGTTGTAACCAGGTGTCCTATGGGAGACATGGTCTTTGTGCTAAGTGAGAAGGGCCTCCGGTTTCTCTTGGAAGTCAACTCTGCTTTTCTTATTCAGGAAAAAATCTGCTGCCATGTCTGGAGTTTTCTGACCATGGATCTTGCCACTGGTTCCCTTGATTTCAGCCCAGGATAGGGAAGATCAGCACACCTGGTCAGGACCACGCTACATTTCCATCACATTAGAGATAACTGACCCCAGCCCTGACATTTTATCAAGGACAGGCATGGTGGCCAGTAGTGGTAGAGCCTCTTTAATCTGATTCCAATTATCTGCAAGTTCCTTCTTTTTATTCTCAGTCACTGCAAATAGAAGCTTTTCACTTTGATCTTTTAAAGAATCAGTTTTTGCTTTCAACACGCATTACTTTTGAAATAGTGATATTTGCCTGAGTTAAACTGCAAGGGATTGTCCTTCAGATTCACCTGTCCCTTCCTCCCCACCCCCAAGTACACATGGGTCCTGAAAAACCAACATCATTTGGGCGCAACCCCAATCAGCCATGGTTGGCTAGGGGCCATCTCACTATTTCCATCCAGCAGTAGCCACCAATCAGAATCTTTGCCACGTTCCGCCTGTGGGTTTCTTTTCATGAACCTGTACCATCAGGGTTTCATGACGTTTGCTGTAACATGGGAACTACAATGTCACAGTTATGTGCATGAAACCCCAGCCTGCAGGCAGTTCACACTCAGGCCACTTTGTACTCACAAACCTGGGGCAGAGAAGATGCTGGCATTGCACCAGTGTGTCCTGGGGGCACCTGTGCATGTCTGCTAAACACTCTGTTCCCACCGAGGCTTCCTCCTGACAGCAGGCTACCTCTGAGATCTAAGCCTGGTCCCAGAACCTCTGAATTTCAGAAGGACACAGGGTTATCTCCCTAAGAATTAATCATCTTAAAACATGAGACAGAGCTTTTTAATAAGTAAAGGCAGTTAAGATTCTGACTTCACTTTTTTCTCTAGACTTTATTTGGCTTGAAGGACTGGAAACATCTGATTTGCTACCTTTATGCTATAAGTTAATGAAGACTTAAATTTCCATTTTGATGACCTTCTATTTCCATTTTTAAGCATGTAGTCTTGTCTCTTCTTGGTTCACCTGGACTCTATGGTAAACTTAAAAGACGTAAGAGAAATTCATGTCTGACCTCTGCAAATTTCTTATTCTTTTGTTTGTTTTTTTGACAGTACTGGGGTTTGAACTCAGAGCCTCACCCTTGCTAGGCAGGTGCTCTGCCACTTGAGCCCTCGACCTCTGCAACTTTGACACTTTCTTTCCAAGAATCATTTGTAGTCACTGGCCCTTCTTGCTGCAATTGCTCTCCTTGTTGTGTTGTCGTTTAGTATAAAAGCAGCAGAAATCCTTTGTGTTGTTTTTATCATGAAGACAAGATCAGAACAAGTAAGAACATAACAACTGCTTTTACTATGGCTATCATGTTAGTCCAGATCTTGTTTAACCAAACCTGCAGATGTAAAATCCTAGAACTCACTACTTTATTTTAGTAGGTCACAGGAAACACGTGAACCATAGAAACCACAATGAACCAAAAGCATTCGTAATGACAAGAGGCAAGAATCTCTCTATCTTCTTAAGGTACCACCTGAACAAATCCATCAAAGAGGAATAAGGAAATTACAAGGGGCCATCATAAAAGTACCACTTTGAGGTCACTGATAAATCTTGTTGTCTTCTCCCCTGCACTGCCAATTCTGTCCAGTCACACATTTTCCCAGATTTTTCAGTTGGTTGAGTCTTGCCATCCATCCTCGAGGTACCCATGCTACAGCAAACATCAGGAGACCCTGATGGTACAGGTTCATGAAAAGAAACCCACATGCGGAATGTGGCAGAGATGGGTTCTGAGAGCAAATCTAACTTTCAACTTGAATGAATTGAACCCTCCTAAAACACTTGAGAGAGCTTAACCTTCACTCAGAGCTGATCTGGATAGCAATAATCACCAAGGTCTCAGACAGCCCAGACCCAGTGTCGGCCTCATTCTCCTTCTGTGTCAAAATCTCAATGGCCTTTTTTAGAAAGAGAACCTAGTCCTCAAATCCACATGAAATTGCAAGGAGCCTTAAATGGCAAAATATATATATATATTATTTTTTGAAAGAATACTGTTGGACTCACACTTCTGATTTTACAACATACAGAGCATATACACTTATCAAAACAGTGTGACACTAGAGTAAGTATAGACTTATAAATGATGGAATAGACCTGAGAGTTAAGAAATAAGCCCATACATCTTTACCAATTGATTTGCAACAAGGGTGCCAAGACTTGGGGAAGAGATAGTTTTTTTCAACAAATTGTGGTGTCCATATGCAAAAGCTTATTGGGCCTCTTCCTTGTGCCATATACAAAAATTAGCTAACAATGGATTAGTGACCTAAATATAAGAGCCAAGACTATAAAACTCTTAGAAGAAAATACAAGCTGAATAATCATGATCTTTGATTTGGCCATTAATTCTTAATATGACACCAAATGCATAAGAAATAAAAGAGAAAAGTTGATAAATTATACTTCATCCAAATTAAAAACTTTTGTGCACCAAAGGACATTATCAATAAAGTGAAAAGATAATATATAGAATGAAACAAAATATTTGCAAATCATTTATCTGGTAAGGGCTTAATGTCCAGAATATCTAAAGAACATCTGTTTAAAAATAAGCAAACAGGCACAATGACTCATGCCTGTAATCCCAGCTACATGGGAGGCATAGGTAGGAGGATCACAGTCTGAATTCAGCTTGGGCAAAAATGTGAGGCCCTACCTGCAAAATAACCTAAACCAAAAAGGGCTGAGGTTGTGGCTTAAGTGGTAGGGCATCTGCCTAGCAAGTTCAAAGCCCTGAGTTCAAAGCCCGGTATCATGCTCACCCCAAAATGGACAAAGTACTTTAAAAGACACTTCTCCAAATAAGATATACAAATAACCAATAAATACATGAAAAGGTACCAACATTATCAGTCACTAGGGAAATGCAAATCAAAACCACAATAGAAGAATTTTATGTACACTAGGATGGCTATAATAAAAATGGAAGTAAGACTTGCCAGGTTATGGAGAAACTAGAATTCTATGCCATTGCTGGTGAGAATGTTAAGTGAGTGTAGCAGATTTGGAAAAGAGTTTGACCGTTTGACCATTCCTAAAAACAGCAAACACAGAATTAGTATATGACCCTGCAATTTCAGTCCCAGATATGTACTCCAAAAGAACTGAAAACAGGTAATGAAGCAATTACTTGGATGCGAATATTCATAGCGAATATTCACAGTGGTCAAAAGGTTGGAAACAACTCAAGGACTCATCAACAGATGAACACTGTAGTCTACACAGGCAACCATCCGGTGGCAGCACAGGGACCTGCCACCAAGCAGCTGGGCCTCCAAAACATGCTAAGTGAAAGAAGCCAGGTGTCACCATATTGCTCCATTTATATGAAATATTCTGAAGAGGTGAAGCTATAGAGACAAAAGGATGGTTTGTGGTTGCAAAGGGATGGGGAAGAAAAGAATGGGAAGCGACTGCTTAATAAAACTTTCACGTTGGAGTGATGAAAATGAGTTGGAAGTAGGTAGAGGGGGTGGTTGAACAACATTTTGAATCATTAAATGCCACCAAACTGTTCACTTCATCTTATGGGACTTCTATGTCAATAAAAAATAATGCATATGTTATAGAAAAAATCAAATATTTTAGAAAAGAAAAATAAAGGGAACGTAATCACCCATAGTTCGTTGACCTCAAAACAACATTTATTAGTATTTTGAGCTACTTTTATCTTCTCTACTTTCCCCCACCTTCTAGGTTTTTTGTTGTTAAACTTGCTTATGGCATTGTAACCTTATCATATGTACTTTTGTACTTTTTGTTTTCTATGCTAGTAAGCTAAAGCTTTTCGTATATTGTAAATTATTTGCAACTATAACTTTAATGATTGCCTACTGGTCATTATTCTTAAAAGACTGTGACAGCCAGACACAAGGACAACTCAGATTTACTTCCTAGTCTTGCTTCACTTCCAAGAGAACCAGGAATTTTACCGTCTGAGAAGAATTATTGTAAG